CCTTTAACTTACCTGGTCCAGCCTGAACTCTGTTCACAGGCACACACATCTTCCCATGGGTCTAATGACAGGTCCTGAAATAAACCAACAAAAGACCTTCTTACATGTGTTTGAGGGAGCCAGATATGAAAAAATAAGTAAAACTGAATAAAACCTCTCCTGGGAACAAATCTAAGATGAAGATCCTAGGTTAGTGGTCTCTGGTTGTACCTTTACAGGACAGTGTTATATGATTCTTCATTCAGTAAAGACCAAAAAGACTGTACCCTCACCTTCATCTCAAGGATGTGCAGAATTACTAAAGTGAACACATTATTGCTTTCCAGAGAGTACTAAAGAGAAAAAGTAGTAAGGGGTACATACGCTTTTTAAAAATAGTACTATGCAATAAAATCCTTTACGTGTGTTATTTCGTCTAGTCCTCCAAATAATCCTGAGACAGTATCACTTTATTGTACAGATGAGTTAAGTGAGGCATGTAATTTAACTACCTAGGTGACAAGGCTGAGATTTGATCCCACGCCTTTTTAATTCCAAAAACCTTAGCTTTGATCTTCGTCCCTGCTGCAACTATACTAAGCCAGCTTTTAACAATTTTTTGCATCTCCATTCCTTAACTACTGCAGGAAGAGACAGTCCTGGGAGAAAAGGAACAAAACTTTCTCCTATCGCTTTAAATATCCTGCTTCTTCAAACTGGAGAGCTGTCCAGAAATGTCCAAACCGCCCCTACATTTTCTCTTTTATTATTTTTTACTTTTAAAGGGACGCCAGCCCAGGCCTGAGCGCGTGGCCCGCCGGGGGGCGCCCCCCTAAATTTTCAGTCGCGGAAAGAAGACGCCCTATCCTTCAATACCTCATCCTGCCGTGGCTTCACTCCTTCGCCCTTCTCCTCAGAGACAGACTCCTCTTCCAGTGGCCCCCAGAGTAGTCCAGGTTTCAGGGCCTCCCCGACACACCAAACCCCCAGGCGCTGTTCCTTGGCGAGCGAGGGGCCAAGGGCCAAGCCCCGGGGGAGGCTCTTTAAAGCGAGGATGGCTCGGGTCGGCCCGGGCGGGAAGTCTTTGAAGCCCTGAGCACAGCCTTCTTCGGAAGAGCTCCATCCTAAGTCCGGGCCCAGGCGTGGCTCGGGGGCTGCAGGGGGATGGGAAGACAGTGAGGGAGCCCACCACGAGGGCGTGGGGGTGGGGAAAGGTGCGGGAGGAAACCGCTGGTCCAGCTAGACCCCCGGAGCCTCAGGGATGTTTGAGGGCTCTAAGGCGGCCTCTAGAAGGTTTGAGGTGGTTCGCGGACTCGTAAAAAGCCGCCAGCGGCTTTGAGGGCACCGAAGGAGGATTCTGGGCTTGGAAGGAGAGGAGACTGGGGCGAGAGGGTTGACTAGAGAACGCTAGGTCCGTCTAGGCCACGGCTGAGGGTCACAGGCATCGCGGGTCACTTACCGAACTGCAGTGCCCTCCCCTCCAACAGCAGCTCCTCCGCCTCCTCCATTCCGGGTCAGAAAGCCTCCCTCCGCCGGAAGTGAGCGTCCTCTTCTAAGCTGCTCCCGGAAACAGTCTTGACTTCTAAATTTCCCCTCAGGAAAGAATCCTATGAGTCGGACCTCATTGGTGTACAGGACCAGGAGTTTGGGAGTACTTGTAAGGCAAAACTCCGAGAACAGTACGAATCTAGGATTCCGGAGGTTCACCAAGCATTCGAGTAGCTGGGAAAGCGGAACTCATTGTTCCAGCCACCTCCTTTTGGGAGTGACGAGTCGGACGCTTATGCTGTCTCTCCCAAAGGCGGGCACTTTGGCGGGCAAGTACGGGAAGTGGGCGGGGCTCCTGGAAAGGCCATGTTTGGACCAGGCAGCGGGCCGGAAGTGGCTTGGAGGTGTGGCGGAAGTGGCTGGGGAGTGAGGCAAACGGGAGGGGGCGGTGCCCGTTCCACCGCGGAGCCGGATGTTTGCCGAGCTTTGACAGGCGTGGCTGAGGGACCAGTTCCCGAGCGCGGTGAGCTGCAGGGCGCGGGGTCTCCCCGGGTACGGGTGGGGGAAGGGAAGGAGCTGGCCAGGTCATCTGAAGGGATGGGGTCGGGTTGGGGTCGGGATGGGGAGGACCCGAGCGGATCCGCGGAGGGGGAACAGGGGTGGAATTGAGCTTGGGGGCCTGGCCTTCCTGCAGGGTTTCTGCCCCATTTTGGCGCCTGAAGTAAGAGGACTTCGCCCCTTTCGCTGTCTTCCTCCTGCCCTCCCCAGGGCAGAGGCCAGGCCAGATTGCCGTCATCGAGCAAGCCCGTGGGAGGGGAAAGTCTCCTTGGTACGATCTGGCTAAGCACTAACAACAAAAAATTAGGGGGAAGTGTTCCATCTTGCCACTTAGCAGGCCACACTTTCATCTCAATGTCTTAATCTTTGAAGTGGGATAATTGCACCCAATTCGGGATTTGTAAACCGTGAAGCTCTGTGCAAACGTAATTGTATTTGAGAGTTGTATTGTGGTGGGATTTGCGTTTTTGTAATTCTGGAGCCGCAACTAGGAGGCCGATTCCAACGTCAGAGAATATGATTTTAAGTTTCTGTCTCTGTTCTGCGTGGAAGAGAATATTAGGGGAGAGGTTTTAGTTTGCTCTTTTGTGGCACCTCTCTGAACCTTGAGAGTCATGGATAACGGTCACTTACAGAATTGTGGTAGGATTGACCTTCACCAAGAGACCACTTCAGACAGAGACATGGATTAAAATCCTACCTCTGCTCCCTGTATGACCCTCAGCAATTGGCTCATTTTTTTCTGGTCCTTGCTTTCATTAAACTGTAAAATGGGCTTGGAAGTACATGCCTCACCGGGGCTGTTGTGTAGTTAAAAGAGAGTTTGTGCCCAGTTCATGGTGCTATATATGCCCTCAACAAATGTTGGTTCCCTTCTTCACTTAGGAGATGAATTAATTCATTTAGTCATTCAACAAAGGACCCAGCATCTACTGTGTGCTAGGCATTATTCTGAATAGGTTAGAGGTTCTTAAACAGTGATTCTCAGAGGGTCTGTGAACCTCTCAAAATTGTTTGCAAGATTTCAGACATCTCCTGATTTTTCTTAGGGAAAAAATCCACAAATGTCATCAGAATTTCATAGAAGTCCATGACTTCCCAAAAGCAATTGCCTAAAGCGATTCGTAAAGATTTTTGTAGAGGTTTACCTGCCGAGAAGGGAAAAATTAATCTCAGAGTCGGGTGTATTTTGCACAGAGTAGAGCAGGGCTTGTGGGTGGCTGGTGTCTTAGGCATCCAGGATACCCTCATTTCCACTACTTGATGTTAGATTTCCCTGCACTAGCTTCCCTCACCCTCCCACTGAATGGGAGCTAAACTTCTGGGCTGAGAGAAGGCAACAGCTGTGGATTGGAGGATGGTGAGAGAGGCCAGTCTGGCTGGGAGGTGGGAACAACTGTGAATAGTTATACTGGGAAAGGAGGTTATGTAGGGGGTTGAGAGAGGTCAGTTCTGGAAGAATTGACAGCTTAGAAAAGGAGTTTCTGGAAAAGAGGTGGAGTTCAAATTCAGCTCCCTTTTAGATATGTCCTTCTCCCTTCCTCACATACCTCAACTCCCAGCTGCTCCTTCTAATCCTGTTGTTCACTTCAGCACAAGTATTTCTGAACACTGGAGAATTATATCAATGTATCTGGAAGGAGCCTTTGCCTCTACAGATGAGGAAAGTTAGGCCCAGATGGGAAAAGGACTTACCCAACATCTTTGCAACTCATTAGTTTAGGCAGGACTATAATCCAGTTCTCCATATACCTCATCCCATGCCATTTCAGTGAACCAGGCATCTACTGTATGTAGAAAGACCTCTCTGAGATAGCTGTAGGTGGGGCTGATGCAGCCTCTGGTGCCTGGGCAGTGACAGAACAGAAGGTATGGAGAGAAAGCTGGGTTGGATTCTGTCCCTATTACCTAGGTGGGGATCCCTCTCCAGGAGCAGCTCTCACAGATTGAAAGGAGGAAGCGTGTAGATGGATGGAGTGGATTCCTTAAGACTGAAGGTGCCTGGATTGGTTGAAGGTTGAAGGCAATGAGATAGCTGGACTTTGGCGTCACTGAGAGAAATGCGTTCCCAAATGCAAGGGGGTCATCCTTCTCTGTTCATGGGGAGGGATTCTGTTTTGGTGGTAATCAAGGGTAGTGGATGAGGCCAGGAACAGGGACAGGGAAAGGAAGAGGAAGAAGAGTTTTTTGGCCATTTGGCTGCTTGGCTTTTTGGCTCAGGAGCCTGAAACAGCTTTCCGTGTGGTTACCCTGGTGACAGGGTGGCTGTTGCTAGGCACAGGGAGATGGTTTGCCATCCCGAGTCCTTGGCTGTGATGTGATGTGTGCGGGAGGTTGTCACATCGCCTCAGAGCCCAGAGTCTGTGGATCTGGGACGGCAGTTCTCCCCCTCTTCTTCCTTCCCGCCCCCGGGCCTGTCTGCTCTCCTTATCTGCCCTGCTGATTCTCTGGCCATATATGTCAGTTTTTGGGCTCCAGGAATGCAGTAGGACTTAGAGCAGCCTCTTCTCTGGGGTTGGTCTGAATGGGTTGAATTCAAACTCCTTTCCCTCACCAATATAGTGAGCTTGTGTTGGGAGAGGGCTGAGGGCATGGGCGCCTGCCCCAGGCTGGATGCCGCCACATCCTCCTGGCCAGATCCCAGACCTGGAGAAACCCAGTTTCAGAGTCAGAGCCAGCTCTTCCCCTCCCTGCTTGCCGTGGCTGCTGTTCTGTTCTTCACCTCCTCATCTCAGCACTCCCGATGCTGCAAGCATCCCCTTTTCCACCTTAAAACCAGTGTCAGGAGTGCCCCACAGATTGAGAGTGGGCATGGGAGCCCGTAGGAGCCTGCACATTGTCTGCTGTGAGTGACAGAGTCCATCCCCTGCTGCTGGTGCCTGTCCCAGGGCAAACCCAGCTGGGCCTCTGAGCCATGGCCTTTATTCTGGGACTCTGTGGTCTCTGGCTACCTCCTCTGCCCCAGGCCAGAGGTGAGGGATGGAGTAGCCAGGACCACAGCTGATCTTTGTCAGGAATGGGGTTTGGAGAACCCTGTGCTCCTTAGATTCTTGCAACATTTCTACCCGTGTAACTGCTGGGGCCTGGGAGGCTTCTGTGCTCCAGGACCCCTGAGGAGAGGGGCGTGGACCTCTGGCCTCTGCAGCTGGGGCTATGTGACCGAGCCAGTTGGGCAGTAGGCAGTGCAGGACCTGGCACTGCTCTTCCCTCCCCAGCTGGAGGACCTGGAGGGAGGCGCTGAGCTGTGCCATCCTCTGTCCCAGCTGCCGTTTCTGGCAACACGCCTGAACCGTGGAGCCAGGAGAACCCAGAGCTACATGGAGCTCTTGGCAGGGATGGGATGTGTTGAGGGACAGGGATGGGGAGCTTGGGAGAGGAAAGAGTGGGGGCAGGAGGGGGCGCTGTGGAAGTCACAGAAGGCAAAAAGAGGGGGTGACCCACCTGCCACCCTCCCTTCTCCCAGGTTTCTCTTCAGGTTCTGCAGAGTGAGGCTGTGAGGGACAGGCTTGGCCATGGATCCGCTCTCAGAGCTGCAGGACGACCTGACTTTAGATGACACCAGCCAGGCTCTGAACCAGCTGAAGCTGGCCTCCATTGACGAGAAGAACTGGCCCTCGGATGAGATGCCTGACTTCCCCAAATCAGGTGGGCATTCCCAGCTCCCAGCCCGCTATAGGCGCCTTGGAAGGAGGGGCCCTTTCCTGCTGAAGGGAGTCCCCAGGAGGGCAGGATGGGGGCAGCAGACCAGTCCCAGGGTCTGGCTGGGAGCATGAGCCTTACTGGGGGGAGGGCCAGACTGCCTGTGTGTCAGGGAGAGTGCAGTTCCAGCTGGAATGACCTTGCTGTGTTCCTCAGATGACTCCAAAAGCAGCTCCCCAGAACCTGTCACACACCTGAAGTGGGATGACCCTTACTACGACATCGCCCGGCACCAGATTGTGGAGGTGGCAGGTGAGCACACCAGCATTGCACCTTTTTCCTCCCAGCCTGTGCTCCCGGCTTAAAAATGTCAGCCCCTCACACCACAGGGGAAGGGTCTGGAGGGGTAGGCTGGTACCCCCTGTGCTCTCAGCCCGGGCCTGGAGCTCCTGAGCACGTGCACCAGTCTTTAAAAGCACAGACTTGCCAGTGATTGCCATTTGATATGTTCACCTGCAACGCTTCCTGACCTATGACTTCATTGTCTGCATTTGCAGACAGGATGTGGAAGGCAGTGTAGCCCAGTGGCTTTAAAGTCAGAAAGCCACGTCCTCCTCATGGGGTTGTGAGAGGATTACAATAATGAGTGCATATCGGGGCCTCGCCCAGAGCCAGAACACAGTAGGCCCTGAATAAGTGGCACTTCCTTTCCTCTCCTTCCATTCCCCTCCGTTCCTTTGTCCTGATGTCAGCTTTCCCACCCAGCTAGTTACTGGGACGAGGCAGAGTGCCAGTCCCTCCTGGGACACCCTACCTCCAACGAAGTCTGCAGGTGGCAGAGCTTCCTTCCAGAAGTGAGGGGCCCCTGACTCTCTGGAGCATCAAGTTCCTGGCACATGTGCTGCCCTGCTAAGAGTGGGTATGGAGCGGCCCTTGGGTCTCTGCCTCAGGGAGCTCCCTCCTTCTCGTTCGTAAGGCAGGACCCAGAAGAAATCAGGAGCAGGGAGGCTGCAGGGTGGTTATGAGCTGCTTCCTATGCTTAAGGTCCCCTGCTAGAAGAAGCCTGCTAGTACCCTTTGTCTTTTCCCTAATGTTTGTCCTCACCAGTGAGGGCAGGCAGCTATAAGCAAGGGTGACAGCATGGCCCTGCTGTGAGGCAGTGGGGTGAGCAGGGGAGCCGGGTAGAACACAGCCCCAGGAGCCCAGTGTGATGTTGGCTGAGGTGGCCCAGAGAAGCCATGTGCCTGGAGGCATCTGGCCATGGGGATACTGGTCTCAGAGAGGGACGGGGCAGTTAAGAGGATTGCCCCTATGGTCAAAGGTATTTCCACGTGTGTTCCTGGTGCCTGCCCTGGTCTGGGTTGGAGGCCTGGGCTCTGGCCTCTCTCACGCCCTACAGAAGCAAGGCTGAGAGTTCTTTCCTGGCCTGGTCCTGACCAGGGCACAGCAGAGCCACCCTGAAGGTTCTGAACTTCTGAACCTGATTAGGGTGTAGGAATTGTCTGATGTGAAGGAGTCTTTCTCCTGACATCCTCCTGGCCTATGTGGTCAAGTCACAGGCAGAGCTGGGGAGCTGTCTGTCCCCACGTCTGTGGGTGATCCCTCTTTATCTGCAGGCAGAGCTGCAGTTTGTTTCTGTTTCCCCAGGGTGTGATGAGCCTGAGGGGGCCCAGAGAGGTAGGTGCCAGTCCTGACTGTCGGTGCTTGGCCTCTCTGGGCTGTGGCCTCTGGGGCTGTAAATCAGGAAGGGTTCTTGGTGGAGGGCAGATGGGGCTAGCTTAATTGCAGCCCCACTCTGGGGAGCTGGGAGCTGGTGGTGCCTGGGAGTTGGAAATAGCAAAAGATTTATAGGAAGTAGGTCAGGGTGGAGACTGTTTGGGGACACACCCAGAGACCAAATGGAAAGGAGCCACAGGGGAGGGAGGGGCCTTATACAATGGCCTAGCCTGGGTGCTGGCTTAGGGACCATCTGGGAGGTGGTGTTCCCCCATGCGTGTGCCTCTCTGATTGGTGAGAGGCATCTAGATGGGCAGCATCAGAGTGAGACTCAGTTGATGAGATCCTGGAGGTGTCCCTGAGGCCAGGTGCTAGAAACCAGAGAAAGAGTCCATGCTGGAAGAGAGGGTGGGTTATGTCCTCAGCTCCTCCGTGGCCCTGCTCTCCTTGCTAGCCACAGCTGGCATGCTGGCTGGCATAGTCCACAGTCAAATTTGACTCAGTCCAGGTGGCCATGGTAAGTGTTTAGCAGTTGGCTCTCCAGAAAGGGGGGGAAAGGGCCATGATTTGTAACATTTGTAATTTCTACCACAGCAGATTTCAAGCTACCAACATGATGTCAGCTGGCTTGGTAATCTCCTGACAATTGAACAATTTAGCAAATGTGTGAGCTGTCTCCAGCACATAGCTAGCTCTGTGAGCCCCAGCCCCCACCTCCTGGGTCCCTGGCCTGCTCTGCAGGTTGTGGGTGGGGCAGGGCGGCCCGGTCAGCCTGCTGCAGGAGCTGTCCTGTGGCTGATTAACTACCCAGGCCATGCTGGGCGAGTTCCTGATTGGTATCTGGGGAAGGCAGAGAACTTGTTCTCAGACTTTCTCTTCCTGGTGCTTTGCATGAACGCTGCACCTCCCTCCTCATGGAGCCCTGTCCCCAAGTGTTCTGGGGCTACCAGAGCTGCCAGCTCCTTCTCTCGTTTAAATCTCCAGGGCAGAAGTCTGCTGTCTTCTGGGATCAGGAGAGGAGTTCCAGGCCTCCTTTTGTGTGCTCCTGGTACAGCAGCCACCCTGCCTGCTGGCGAACACTGGCCTGCCCAAGGACTTGGGCGATGGGATCCCGCTCTCCAGGAAGTGGGAGGGCAGGGGCAGAGCCTGGGGTTGCCCATCCTCTGATTCTTTGCCTGGCTGGGCATCTTGCCATCTGACCAACCCCTCACTGACCCCCTCTTCCCCCATCTCCATCCTGGCTTTGCTCAGCATGTGTTCCTAGAACTCTGGAACAAGCTCTCTAGTCAGCACTGGGGATTCAGTGAGAAAAAGCACACGTTCCCTCCTTCAAGAAGCTTACATTCTAGTGAAGTGGTTCTTAAAACCGGTCACAGTTCTCCTTGAGGCTATGAAACGTATCCTGAGGTATGGATCTCCTTCTCTAGAGAAAATGTGCATGTGCTTATAATATTTTTGCATAACATCATGGAGTTAGTAGACCTGCTGAGCACACAGGAGGAGCCCTGGCTGAGAACACAAAGCTTCCCATTTATCATACAAGGTGCCGCGGCCAGCTGAGAGGTGGGATCACAACTTCTTCCTTAACCAGTTACTAGCTGTCTAAATTCCAGAGCCAGCGAGCCCACAGACTTTCTGCTCTGGCTAAGTCCTCAAATCTGCCAGCCAACGAGGGCTGCCTTGCTGCTGAGGGGTGGGGAGAAGGGACGGAAGGAAAGAATCTTTTGGAAGCCCTCACTCTTCTCCCAGCATTTCTCCCCACACTCTGGGCATCTCCTCTGCTTAGATGGGAGTAGCCAGATGACTCCCCACCCCCTGCTTGATTGTATGTGGAAATGGGCTTGCCGTTCTAACCCTTTGTTCCTGGAGCCCACGGGAAGTGAGTCAGAGCAGACACACAGCCCCAGAGCACCCCAGCTGGCCTGCGAGGAAGTCAGCGCATCAGGATCTAGGCTAGGGCTTGAAAGAGCAGGTGACACCTGGTCCTTCAAGACAGACCTGCTGCTGGATGGAGCTGCACCTCTTCCTCAAACAGGCTGAGAGAGGATTCTCTGCTTGTAAATCTGAAGAAATTCTGTCCCAGGCTTCGGGAAACTCACTGTCTAAAGCGGTCTAACTCATAACCTGAGTGTCATCAAGAACAAGCTCAGAAATAGAAATGTGCATCCCATAGTTTAATGGTGACCTGTGACTTTGTGCAGGCTGCCCACACTCACTCAACACCTGCCATGTGCTGGGCACTGGGCCAGCACTAGAGATTCAAAGACGGGTGAGACACAGTCCCTGTCTTTGAGCTGCTCACCAGCCAGTGGAGGAGGCCGGCACATAAACAGTTAGACAGGAAAGTCAGCGTCGTGACACACAGATGACAGTTTATGCCGGGAGTCATGAAAAAGGGCAGCACACCTGTCTAGGGGAAGGGGGAGAGGACACAGGCTTCTGGGAAGAGAAAAGTCCATCTGGTGTGAGAAATGGCATAGGCTCAAACCAGCCTGGCTCCGATGTGGCACTGAGCCCTTCTATGTTGGAAGTGTGCCTGCCATGTGCCTGGAGTCCAGGAGCCATTTCAAGGAGCATTGATGGGACTGGGGGCCCACAGAGGATATCTGGGGTGGGGTTCACGAGTAGGGTTGGGGGCAGGTAGGTGTTTATAATCCTTCAGGGCTAGAAGTTGGGGCAGGTTAGGAGGGGAGGATGGAGCCTCTCTCTGGGCTTGGTTGGCTGGGCCTTAGAACCTGACTCAGGAAACTCTTGGAGGGCCCTGGTTAGGACCTTCAGGGCCGACAGAGCTAGGCAGTGCTTTGACTAGAGGTGGGGGGGTTAGGGGACTGATCTAGAGGCTGGATGTGGTCATGTGACTGCTGGGAGCAAGATACTGTATCAGGCTCAAGCACCAGGCTGTGCAGTCAACAGGGACCTGGGCCACCCTGGCCACATTCCAGAAGCCTCCCTCACCCCCGCCCATTGAGCCTTGCCTCAGCACCAGAGAAAAGGGTCAGTACTTTGGAAAAGCACTGACTCCTGGGTTCCGTCACTAGCCAAAAAGGATCCTCAAGATCATGGCTTGTTACACACGGGGAGACACTCAGCAAGAGCTGAGGCCACCCATCCTTAGTCTTCAGGGACAGGAAGGGCAGACTTCACTGCGTTCATGGATCGTGTAAGTGGCTTTTTATTCGGCTCTGAGGTGGGGATTAGGCAAGTGTAGTTTGGTGTCTCCGGAGAGGCATGAGGGTAGAGGTGAAGGGAAGATGCCTGGGACATAGGGGAGTGGGGACCAGGCCCTGTCCCCATCGAGCTTTGCTTGGGGTCCCTGATCCATGCTGTCCCTGGAAGAGCAGCTCACTTTGGGGCAGTAGCACGTCTCAGGTACCTCCCAGCTTCATGACAGACCCAGACGGTCAGGCCACCAAACTGTCACTGTTCTGGACAAACATCCCTGAGTGATTACACTCAAACGAGCATTTTCCCACAGCATAACAAACTCCTCCGAACTCCATGTTCTTTAGAATGTCCTTAACGAGAAAGGATACAATTTTTAGAAATGTCCAGAAGTCAATTAGAGCCAAGTATGGTCAATAATTCTAGTAATAGTAATAAAATTAGAAAGTATTGTCAGTGGTCAGAAATGAGACAGGACTCTGAGGTAATCATATTGGTTTCCTCAGGGGCCTTAGACTTGCTAAGAAGATAGCTTCAAGAGGTTTTCCAAACACACATGCTTAGAGGGTGTGCTTACAGAATAAGTGTGGTCTTTTAGGGTGACTGGCAAGATAAATGCTTTGGTGAGCATGAGTTTTTTTTTAATTGAGGTAAAGTTTACATAACATAAAATCAATCATTTTAAAGTGTACA